ACCATCCCAGACATTATTCTATTCGGTATTGCCAGTGAAAAGCGTTATCCTTAGCACTTAGCGACAGCTCCCAACCAAGTCTCGGTTTATAGTTTGTGATTTATCTCTCCTGTCACGTCCTAAGTAAATTGCCGTATCCTCAATTAGCAATCCCACTTCAGGGCTAATAACTTTATGACAATTCTCACAGTCTGCACTTTATGCATCGTCATTAATACAATTACATTGAATGATATTTGTATTTTATTGAGTAACGCTTAATTGAATTTTTTACTTTATTCTAATTTTCCTTTCGTCTAAATAGAGTGTAGATCAAATCAATGCATAAAAATATACACCATACGAGTTAGAATAGTGCAAAATTCAATTTAGTACGAGTTATAAATTGGTAATACTGGCCAAAATTATGCTAAAGGCGCTCATGTTTACAAAAGACAGCTAAGCAGATGCATCAGTTATCGTTAGGCCATTGCCCTTTAAGCACGTGTTGATGCTTGTTATGCCGTTCAGTTTTGTAGTCACAGTAAAGTAAATTGGAAAATTATATATCATCCCCTTAGCAGATATGGACAAAGGGAGCACTGATAAGGAGAAGCGATCCGTGATTAAATAAGAATAAAATTTTGCTATAATAAAAAAACGTAGGCATGGTGACAGCAATGCTAAAATTGGCAGGTACGGAATACTTTAAAAACGCAAATGAAATAAAAGATAAAGGTAAATCGTTATCAACCTCATTGGATTTAAAGGCCACCTCTAGGAATGGAAGTATTGCCATTATAGATTTGTGTGTGAATGTAAAAGTAGCATTTTACCAGCAAACACAACTTTATTGCAGTCCATGGATCAAGGAACAATCAAAAAAACTTAAAGCAAACCACTTGAGAAGAACTTTTTCACAGATGGTTGTCAAACAACAGTTGATGATGCTTTCCATACTGTATTGTCTTGCTTTGCCTATAATAAACATTTCTTTTGCAATAACTTTTAATTATTCTTGGTTATTCTACTGCATTAAAAAAACGAAAAATCGAACCAAATTATACATTTTCATTACATTTTTTCCATAAGATGAAGTCTTTACATTACTTTATACACTATTATCCCTTCGGATAGTGCGATTTTTTTACTCGTACTAATCGCGACCTGCCTGTATAAGATATAGATACATAGACCTTCCGCCTAAATAGAGCGCATAGCAACAAGGGTATAGACGTGAGAGGGTCTTTGCTTACCTATAAATCAGCTTTCTTCTGACGGATCTCTTGAAGAAACCACTACAGCCGTTGCAGGCCAGGATGCCATAGTGCTTCCCACTACTCACATCTCCACAGACGACACAGTAAAGGCCGTTTGGATTCGCCTTGGATTCGGCATGGCTACCAGAGACTGGGCCTTCCGGGATGCAAACCGTCACGTTGCCATCCACCAAACCGCCATTCGTCCCTTTCACCACAAGTCCAGCTCCGTCCAGACTGGCCTGACTCCGGCCGACTGACAGGCTGTTGACGACGGAAGTCACCTCGCCAAATTGGCGCTCACTTCTGACCGCATCCGAGCTCGACTCCGACAGGTCGACTGTGTCCGTTAGTCCGATGATGTCTGAGCCGCCGGAAGTCGAGACCCTTCCAAGCTGCGCGAAGCCCAGATCACCTCCAGTCTCGAGATTGCTGTTGGATCCGGCGCCAATTGTCGTCGTGAGATTGGACTGCGCTACGGCCGCGGCAGCGGCCGCGGCGAACGTCTGTGCCAGCTCGGCTGTCAATTCGGCCATGCGCCGAACGTCTGAGTCTGCTCCATTTGGACCCAGACCTGCGCCATCACGTTGGTTGCCGGAGCAACTGTCATGGCCGACCTTGAGTCCAAGTGAGGCTGTGGGCAGTCCGGGCAACGGCAACAGGCAGAGAGGTTGACTCGGTCTGCGAAACGTGTCGAAAGAACCAGACGCCTGCGTAGGTTGGTTGTGCAGACGCGTCGGACCGACGTTACCGACGGAGAGGTCCAGGCTGTTCTGATGCTCTTCACAGAATGGTTTCGACGGGGACGCTGCTCCCAAACACGAGAGGCCCGGCTGACCGAGAGATCTGTTGTCCATGCCGCCGCCGGACAGAGCATCACTGGCACAGCTGGCCTCGCCTCTGAGGCCACAAGTCGCCTCGGTTTCCAGGCCAGAACAGGAGAAGAGTCCCTGCGAAAACAGGGCAGAGGCTCGCACTTGCGCCTCCTTCATGGCATGGAAGAGAGGATGCTGACTGAGATTGAGGTACTGAGGTTGCTGCAAGTATAGGCCATACAGAGATCTCTCCCTCTCCTCAGTGGTCTGGCCGAAGTTCCAACAACAGTTACCATTTTTATTCTTTATCACTTCTTTTTCACACTCTCTTACCTTTGCCTTCTTGACTTCTTTGTCCTCGCGTTTTTTCACAAACCTTTTTACTTTGTCACCCTTTGTTCCTACGGCGTCCTCCTCTTCTTCTTCCTCCTCCTCCTCTTCCTCTTCATCCTCCTCCTCCTCTTCCTCATCCTCATCCTCCTCCTCCTCCCCCTCCTCCTCTTCCTCTTCCTCATCCTCCTCCTCCTCCTCCTCCTCCTCATCCTCGTAGTCTTCGTCATCCTCATCCTCCTCATCTTTGTCTTCGTCCAATCGCCTCTTTCGCTTATTACCCTCTCCGTCATTTTGCTCTCTTTTTTCCCTTTCCCCATTTATGTCCCTTTTTGCCTTTTTATCCTCCTCCTCTTGCTCTTCTTCCCCTTCTGAATCCTTGTTGTCCTTCTTCCTGCCTCTTTCACCCATCACTCCGACAATTTGTCCGACAAGCCCGCCAGTGACTGAGCGGTTAAGAAG